GGTGAAACGGCTGTTTAGTACTTTAAGGTTTTCAGTGGTGGTCTAGCTTAGGTTGAAAATTTTACACTCTCCACAAATCACCTAAACTAATAAATAACAATTAACTAAAGCAACTTAAAATACTGGGATAAATCAGATTATTTAAAGGATAATTAACCAAATAGATTTTCATCACGATTCATAATAGTTTATAAACAAAGGTGGAAAGAGGCTAGCGGTGGAATCCAGGATGAGCGTTTCATCTTATTTGCTACATCCAATTTGAACATCAACTTTGGGATACAGGTACATCCAACTGACGAGTCCCAAATAAGATGATACGCGCGTCCTAGATTCCACTGCTAACCGCTATTCATAATTGTCTGTAAAACTTGTGACTTAATGTAATACCGAGGCAGTTCGCACAGAATGGACATATGTTAATAAGAGACTGGTCAATTACAGCTCTAAACATCAATGGAAAGATTCAAGTAAACAGTATCAAGTGAATTTATAGAAGTATGAGATAACTCTTAATATTCATATTGGAAATAGTTTTATGGATTCATATTTAATTCCCTATTCTGTACTTTCTCTTTAGATGTATAATCTGAGTATATTTGTCGATATACTACAGTTGTAATTAATGATTCAGTCTGTAAATGGTCATTTCCTCTTATAATCATTATGTTAAACTTAACTATACCATCAAAATTCAAATCTTTTGAACGGAAAAAGTGCTACATATATATGTCAACAAGAGACTGGTCCATTACAGTTCTAAACAACAATAGGAAGATATAAGGAAACAACACCAAGTCAATTTAATACATACTAGTTGACTGTGGTTTATGTGGTGGGAATAACGAATGCAGTCAGTTGATGTTTATTACAAATATGAGCTATTAATTAGTGAATTTAATTAAATATTGTTCATACTTTTGTACATTTTCCCTCATCTATGCAACATTCAATCACATTTCTGAAGCACATGAGTTTATGGACGGTCACAAAGAAAAGCGATTTCTCACTTTTAAATATAAACGGTAGAAACATTTTTATGTAATGAAGTGAGCACTAGCTTATGTGAAACTAAAATACAGAACTCAATCACAATAAGACAAAATCCTACATCTATTTGTCTCAACATTCCTGCTTCATATTTCATTCCTCTTTTTTGAAGTACCACTGAATGCTTACAGCCATTATTTATAATCTAACTGATGTTGATAAGGTCATTTTCTTCAGTTTTAACAATCAAAATAGAATAAGGAATAATTAAGACAATACTATTAAACGAAGAATTAGGCGAGACTATAATTTATGGATGAACCAATCAGATATTAGATAACAAGTCTAGGATTTTGGCGCAAAATTCATTCATCTATTTGGATAAATAGAGCTTTGGCATTATAGTTGATATCAGTTCGTGATGAAAACCCCAAATGTAACCATCAACTGTAAATCATCATTCGAATTCATCATACTAATTTATAACCTTCATTTAATCCTGTTTATCATGTGAACACATTCAAGGTCAGTCTAACCTCGTTTAAATGTCGTCCATAAATTATAGTCTCACCGATCTCTGTATTGAACTCTATCGTTCTGTAACACTTTCAAAGAATAAAACTAACTTTTTTCTAGTATTACACATATCCTAGACAACATAAATGTACTTAAACTGATGACTTTTACAACAATAACAACACCAACAAAGCAACAACAGTTTTCTCGACTATACACCATTTTAGTATTCGTTGTTTATACCTAAATGTCAAATTAGGAAGAAGAAAAAAAAAGAAGAACAACTGAATGTCATAATTCCTTTTTTGTTTGTTTTAAAATGTCAAATAATTTAAAAATGTCAACATTTTTATATTGAATGAACAGTAGCTTAAAATTTTTATATATAGTTATATATATATGTAAGTAGTTATATACTACTGAAATAGAAATTTATTGAGTAGAATTTTATAGAAATAAAAATAGAAATTCAAAAAAAAGATTGTAGTTTCCATTCGCTACAAAATACGAACTAAAAAAAAGAACAAAAAAACAAAAAAATCGAAAAAAAACAAAAAAAACAGAAAAAACAAAAAAAATCGAAAAAAAAACAAAAAAAATAGTGTAGTTTTTCATGACACTCCAATAATAATGACATTGCACATATTGAAAATGTATACAAATGAATATTTATTGTCATTGAAGGAATGACCATGACATGAAATAAAGATTATTTTATATCATTAAAAGTAAAGTTAATCAAATTATGGAATATCACCTAGTTACTACTAGAAATATTATTGATAAAACATTATTTTATAGTGAAAAAATATTCAGTTTTATTTGTTTGTTTGTTTGTTTGTTTGTCTGTTTTGAAATGTATGACATTTGAAATAAAAGTTTTTTTTTAAAAAAAGAGGAGTGAATTGTCTATATGTTAAAACAACAACAAAAAAGAGTTAGTCAAAGGGTTGACAACATAAATCACAATTCGTACTTTAGATAAATATCAAAAAGCATATATATATTATTCAACGGTTTAATAGATTGGAATACACCTAATTTCAGAAAGAGATTTGAGGATATTATAGGGATTTTAGTAGTTGAACTTATGAGTCAACTGAAGTTAGACCACTATGGAAAACCTAAAAGCACTGAACGGCCAACTCATCCTGCATTGTGAGACTCCTCGGTAGTGCGTATTCACGATCTAGAGGTCTAGGGGTTGGTGGTTTGCGCGTGAGACCGAAGTCCCTGGGTCCGAGTCTTGCGAGGCAAGATCGTAAATGCGCATTAGTGAGGAGTCCCATACTAGGATGAAACAGGTATTCAGTGCTTTCAAGTTTTTCATGATGGTCTAACATCAATCGGTTCATGATTTCAATCAAAAAATTAATAATCTCTACAACCCTATATTGAAAATCATTTAGAAAGGGAGAAGCGCATCCTAAATATTTTGGTGTTTATGCTCAGTCCTACCAGAAGACTCTGCATTTTATCAGTGTCTTTACCAAACAAAACATTATCATCTGCGTATTCTAACTCCATAAGTTAAACATGGTTAAACATGGAAAAATCATTCAGCATATGTGCATAAACTTCATATACCATTGTCATAAACTTATATGTAAATCAATGAAGAACACATTTTTTGTGGATATTATAGTAATTTCAATGGTTGAGATTATGATTCGATTGAACCTAGACCACCATAGAAAATCCGAAAGCACTGGATGTCCACTTTGTCCTATAGTAAGACTCCTCAGCAGTGCTCATCCACGATCTCGCATCGCGAGATTCGAAACCTGAACCTATTGGCCTCGCACGAGAACACTTAATCATTAGACCACTGAACCGGTCGGCATCAAACGGTGTTAATATCTAACTTCAAATAATAATAGGGTGAGAGAAATAATAGTACAATTACAAATTCGATCATATATTCGAGTATACAAAGTCGCATGATAGACTACATCCATATGGAGAAATAATACAAGTATTATTACTGGAAATGTATATATAACTTGGTCATGAATTACTGTAGTTCAAAAGAATACAAGACGCATTTTGTCTTTTTAAAATATTTATCTATCAATTCAACTGCTTCTGTAGAGTAAGTTATATTGGCAGATATTCTAGGAATTTGTACATTCAGGCTCGTGAGCACCTCTCAGTGTGGTTAACCAAAGATGTAGTCAAAACGCTTAACAACTCCATTTTAACCCGTTTAATTGATATACAGCCAATATGGAGTAATCTTTCACAAAAATATTTATCTTCCTACTTGATCTCAATTCATCGAACAGGATGATCTAAACAGACAACCCGAATTCTATTATAATAAAACTATGTTTATTGACGAATTATGTACTTTCCAAAATAGATTATAATGTTTTCCCCCTGATATTTATACTACTTATTGAATTGTGAAAATTAATTTAAGGAGAGCAAGAACAAAGTTTGATGCAGAATAAGGCATGAATTCATTCAATTTCGTTAGGTTCTCATCAGCTGCTTACAACCTAAAATATTTGAAATTCAACATGATTATAGTTATTGACATACTTATAAAACAGAGGGCGATGAAGGATGAATATATGTAACATAATGTAGCAAAGATCTCGTTAGAGTTAATGAGGTCATAAAATTTTTTGTTTCGAATATATAGAGTTTGGGAGGGAAGGTTCCAGAACATTGAAACAGTGATTAGAAATCATGGAATTAAAAACAAATTAGATTATTATGCAATGAAATAACTGAAAATAGATTAATAGTAATAAAGAGAGGTATGAATCGAAATTGGTCAGTTACGAATGATGTAATTATAAAATTCAGAAAGATTTGGAATAATGAATGACGTAATAAATAATTAATTAAAAGGGGGGGTAATGTTGTGGTGTGTGCTACTTATATTGATATAAGTAGTATATGACGCGAGTTAAAACGTAATGTCTGGCAGCAGAAGATGAGGGGAAGATCAAGAAAAGAAGAGAGAAAACACAATGGAATTTATAAGGAAACGCATGAACAATGGAATGGTATTTGCAAAAGAAACAGTCCAGTTTGATATGATGCATTGATATTTTGCAAATTGACGATTGACTTTATGGTATTCAGATTTTATTGAGATAGTCTGTAATTTGCGTGCTAAATACATTCGATTGTCCTCACCCGTGTTCTTGTTCACTACAATGTTATCAGGGCAAAGAAAGATTTATTACTGTTTCTTTTTGTATACAAAGATCTGGTTTTAAACCTTTGATTACTATCACTTCGGCAAATTTCAAAAGGTTTGAATTTGATTGTTTGTTGATCACCTTGAAGGACTTCAGTATATCGACTTCGTGTCCTGTGTCAAGGAGATGTCTTGCGATAGATAGATAGATAGATAGATAGATAGATAGATAGATAGATAGATAGATAGATAGATAGATAGATATCATTATTACGTAATCCAATATTACTTAAAATTAATTTTAGTAACTAAACCGAACTTTTCTAATACTTTATTTCAGTCTTAAAAAAATGTCTATCCATTAAGTGATCTGAACACCACACACACACACACACACACACAGAAGGAGAGAGAGAGAGGGAGATAGAGGTTATTGCAAATAATCCACTTTCAACTATATAATGCAACTATCAATTGGGATTGATTATTATCAATATATTTATATCTTATTTATCATAACCATTCTATATACAATCCATTCAAATCAATTAATGTATAATATTAATGCTCAAACTACACGTATTATACGTATTAAAGAGAATACCCCAATTGGTACTGTAATTATACCAAATATAATTGATTTTTTATATGGACCAAATTATTCACCAATAGAATATTATGAACAAAAAAATAAAAAAAAAGAGAAAAATATTGATTATTTATTAGCTATTGGTAATTCAGTAATGCAAGGTGCTAATTGGTTTGCTATAGATAATTACAAATATAGTTTATATATAAAAATATCACCAGATCGTGATCTATTATGTCCAAATAATCAAAAATTACCAGAAACAGCTGTATCTATTGCAAATGGTGGAATTGAATTTCCAGAGTATAATTTAAATCTTGGATCCAATTATAATTTACAAATTAATAGTAATCATAATAATAATAATAATATGAATATGAATAATAATATTGATAATAATGATTGTATCATAAAATTATCAATTATACATGGTTCATCAGCAAATCCATCATTTGATTTTATTACAATCATTTTAGAAGATATAAATGATCATGCACCAAGTTTTAAAGAGATTCAAACGAATTTAGATAGTAAAACAAATGAATTTGTTATAAGTGTACCAGAAACACCGACGTTAATGGATAAAAAAGATGATATATCAAGTATGAAACATAGAACAGAGCATAAACCAATAAGAATTCTATTACCAACAGCTATAGATCCAGATCAAGGTGTAAATAGTATTAAAGGTTATAGATTAGAAGGTGAAGATGCTTTTCATTTTCGACTTGAAGTAGGTCCTTTAATAAATAATGATTTAAATTATCGAATTCATAAAGAATTTCAACATGTTGGATTATTTCAAGATCATAAATCGAATCGATTATGGTTAGTACCAGTTAGAAATAATGGTGGAACAACAGAAACTATAAATAATGGTGAATTAGATAAAGAACAACGAAGTGAATATCATTTTATTTTAGTTGCTTATGATGGTGGTTCACCATCAAGAATAGGTAAACTTCCTATACGATTAATGATTGAAGATATTAATGATCATTCACCAGAATTTAATCAAGAATTTTATACCGGAAAAATATCAGAAAATGATCCTGGTGGTCATATAATATTTGAATTTTCTGCAAGAGATAGAGATAATACAAAAGAGAATGGTATCATAAAATTTCGTATCCCTGGTCAAATGGATCATAATACAAATCAAAATGAAATTGTTGGTCAAAGAGATAGAATTAGTTTAACCGATAGTCAATTAATTGCTGCAGAATTATTTTCTATAGAATATCCATATGAGAAATCAAATGATTTATTAAATATACAAGAAAATTTCTATAATAGTACTGTTTATGGTCGACTTATTATTAAACGTCAATCCAAAGAAAAAATTCAACAAGCTACATCGAAAGCTATTTCAATCGCTCGACATAATCAAATGATTATCGGATCAAAATTAGGATCTAATTTCCCATTAAATCATCAATTAAACAATAACAATAATAATGACTTACTATCTAATAATGATCAATTACATTTTTTTATAGAAGCATATGATAATGGTATAACTCCATTAGTAACTAAAGTACCAGTCATTATTCATATTATTGATGTAAATGATCATTCACCAGAAATATTTATATCCTATCTTAAACCTACACAATCTACAATGAATCAATTAAATGTATATAATACAGATAGACGACATATATGGGGTAAAATAACTGAAAATTTAGAAAGATCAATTATAGCACAAATCACTGTGATTGATCAAGATTCAACATTAACACAATCCGATATTATATGTAAAACAAATGATAGTCGATTTTTATTAGAAGAAATCAATAATCATTTAGATCGATTTAATGATTTTTCATTATATTGGCCTAGTAACAATCTATATAATAATAATAATCATAATAATAATATTGATTTAAAATCTCATTTCATTGAATGGAATAATCATAATAAACCATTAACAAAAATATATAAATTAATGTCAATCTCTTCATTAGATAGAGAATTCAGTGATATACAACCATCATTTATAAAATTTTCAATTATATGTATTGATAATCAACATAATGAATTACCAGGTGGTTCATTAACATCACAAGCGGATATATTACTTGAAATAGAAGATATAAATGATAATTCACCTATATTTGATCATAATGAATATACATTTCATTTACCAGAAAATTATCCAAAAATAAAATTAGAACATAGTATTCATTCATCTGAAATTGAACGTTATCCTATTGGGATAGTACATGCAACTGATAAAGATGGAGGAATTCATGGAAATGTTAATTATAAATTAGTTTCTAATCCAAGTGGTTCAATACAGATAGATAAATTTAGTGGAATGCTTTATGCTATTCAACCATTTGATCGTGAAACTATAAATGAATTAGTATTTCAGGTATATGCAATAGATTGTACATTATCAAATGGAACTAATGATCGACAATGTGATGAGTCATTGAGATTAACAGGAACTGCTAATGTTCGTATAATTATTGACGATTTAAATGATTCTCCTCCGATTTTTCAAGAAGCCAATTATCACTTTGAAGTTGAAGAGGGATTAGATCTTGTTAAAGTTGGACAAGTATGGGCTGTTGATGCTGATCAAGAAGAAGCTGCACGTATTTCCTATCGTCTAGCAGTTGGAATTAATAATCGAATTAAAGAACCAATAAATGATGGAAATTTTGCAGAACAAGTTACAAAGTCCTCCAACAATCAGAATCTTTACGATGAAGCACTTGAGATTACCACTCATTTCCAAATTGATCCAAGAAGTGGGATTATTCACCTAAAGGGAAGGCTAGATCGTGAAAGACGTGCACACTATGAATTTGTGGTTCTAGCTTTGGATAACCCTAGGTCCATACCGACAAAAATAGCTGGATACCAAAGACAAACAACAAATGAAGTCATTCAGTTCACAGCAACGGCAACAGTTCTAATAACCGTGTTAGACCACAATGATAATCCACCTAGAATACTCAGTCCATTGAATCATGTAGAATTTATGCTAAGCCCAGATCAGCTAATCGCTGGAAATACGATATTTACAATACGTGCGACCGATCCAGATTTAGGTGAAAATGGTACGATTGAATACAAATTACTTCAGGTGGAAGATGACCTAGGTTCATGGAATTTCGCAGAATCTGTTCAAAGGAATAGTCAAGTAAATCATAGAAATACTACAGATACGAATTCACAAATGAACCAAGAAAGTAAATCTTCGAATGTTGACTATCCGTTTGCTGTAGATCGAACTGCAGGCATTTGTTATCTTCGCGAGAATCTACCACCGTTAAATGTTGATGGTCCTAGAGCTTATATGCTACGTATATTAGCCTATGATTTAGGAAAACCGGATAGTTTAAACACAACTCTAGTTATTCGTGTGGCTCGTCAAGTAGGATCAAATGGAGATATCTCAAATGGAATATTATACTCAAATAGAATTAATGCTAAAGAATATCGACAGACTGGGAGAACAGAAACACAACAATATTTATTCCCATCAAACGAGCATGATTCTGAATCCGATGTTAAAGTTGGAACATGGACATCAGCAGGGCATGCAAGAATATCCGATAAAACAATGGTTGTTATTTTATCAACTGTATTTGTTTTACTATTGCTTACAACAATTGTTCTCCTACTACTTGTACGCTACAGACGTCTATTAATACGAAATATTCCATTAGAGCAAAGTTTAGCATGTGATGGTCCTGATTCAAAAGCAAATGAAGGTTTTGCTGTGGGTAAGCTCAATTAATTTATTAAATTTATCTTAACTAATATGTAACAACTTTGTGAGTGTTGGTCGCATAAAAAAATCACGTTCCATTAATTTTGTCAGTATAGTGTTGTGGACATAGTTAAGTTTCATCGTCATATATATATATATATATATATATATATATATATATATATATATTGATCTCCTAAGCTCATAATAGTTAAATAACTAAGGGATATATTTGTCAGACCTAGACCCAAAACACATTACAGTATAGTTGATTGATCACTTAGTGGCAACCACTGTCATTTTTGATCAGTCTTAGTGGTTGAATATAGTTTTCAGGAAGCTACGGACCTATGTTAGTTGAAAACAATTATATTAAGCTAAGTCAAGTATAAGACAATTATTTTACTCACCATGAACATGTGAGGCATTGTGTTCACAGTTACAACTGATTATATGTACCCTTTTTCACTTATATCCAAATCAGTCAGGAAAACAGGCATTACTTTTACTCGCCAATTGTACACAGGACTAATTCTTATGTTAGGTGTCTGCCAAGTAAATAATTCAATAAGCACATTAGGTGGGTGATGCGAGTTTATTTATCTAACTCTAATAGGTTTTTCAAAAATGTTGCCTTTTAATATTAGTTCGCCCAACAAACACACAAACATTGACCATAAGACCATATTGTATACAAGACTTTTCTTTAAAATAATCCCAACTTGCAGTAATACACTTGTCTTACAATCGTTTGCATTGTTATGAACAACACGGAAAGCCCCCTTGAGGTGAGGCCTATCAGCTGCATCGTCGTTTTCAAAATAAAATGCATTGGTGAAGGAATATAAACAAACTGTGTTTTTTCAAACTCATTTCCAAAGCAGTTACCTGAAAATGAATCAGCAAATGATAATCATAGGATGATTCACATGTTCTATCTTTTGGTGAGCACTGAAGGTTAACAGTTATCTTGAAATTACATAATTTTCAATGTTTTCATGGCCTTTAATGAAACGCTTGATTTATTCTAAAAGGAGTTATTTTCATCAATGCGTTATCTTCATGAACGATTTTCAGTGCTTCACAGATTTCGTTTATTTATTTGGTTTCGTAATTATCAACACTAGTACCTTACTTCGTGTATTTATTGAACTGACGATGTGCAAATAAGTCATGACTTACGTTATAGAAAACTATTGACAAATTCATTATTACGCTTCATTAAAAATCATAATCAGGGTAATATACATTTCTTAATTGCCTAAAATAATTAGAATATAGAGGTATATGGAGATTATCCAATTACCATAGTATGATAGCAGCTGAACCACAATAGAAAACTATGAAGCATTGAGCAGCTGTTTCGTCCTCGTACGAAACTCCACAAAAATGCCCATTCACAACTGAAGCGGGACATGAACCTGGGGTCGTCAGTCTGGCTCACAAACACTTAACCTTTAGACTACTAAGCCGGCATCTAACGGTGTATATGTCTCGATTCTTAGTATCGTGTGAATCGATCTTCCATTGTCTATGATAGGTAACTATCTCATACTTGAGATGGTGGAGAAGATTTGTAGCTCAGGTGGATGATTTTGGTGGAGTTTTGTTCTCTGAGCTGGATGGTTTGGTCGTGGAGCTTTCATCATTCTTCTGAACGACATCATCAGCACAAACTTCACCTCTATCTGAAAGTCCCACGACCAAACCATCCAGCTCAGAAAACAAAACTCCACCACTATCTCATACTTGATATAGTTGAACTCCATTAGTTACGGCTTCTGACAATCTTAAATGCTTCTTAATTTTCAATGTTGATCTATCTAATATGAATTCATGATTTAAACTACCTTCAAAATACAATTCGAAATATTTTAGTTTAAATGTATGAATTTATTAAGAAATCAAATATTAGAAATGATCATAGTGACTACACGGTGCACTTAAGGTGTGCAAAAGGAACAATAAAATCACCTTAATAAAAAAAAAGTATTTGGTGGCTCGGGATCTGACTCCAAGTAGATCATATTAATGATTGCTGTTGAATTATATATGTCGCCTATCCTCGTATATAATTATCGACTTAAATCGCGTTAGTCAATAACGGAATTATATTAGTCAAATACGAGGATGAATTTCGAATACGTATATTTCATACAATCTTTGATCCAGAAAAAATATCGGACAAGTGAATGGAATAGAGCGAAGCAAAACGACGCGCAGCGGAGATGCCGGGTAAGCCAACACCCATTTTAACCAGGCGTTAATCAATACTTATAGTCACACAAAAATAAGCTACAGACATGTGATGAGTAATGGGATGAGAAACGTACACACACCTACGCGCTCATATAAAAATAGTCAAGATTGATAATTAACAAGATCAAAATGTGACTCAAGTAAAATGGATAGATTGGCCTGTCCGAAAGCTACAATAAGACATATAGGCTAAACATAATAATCGACACTACAACTACTTGAATTTCATGATCTTAACACAAAGTATCAGGTAAGAAGAGAAACCACAATATATTTGCCATTATTATGTGATAAAAAAACGAACAAATCGCAAACCTTTATGATGAATTGAACGAAGAAAAAAGGGAAAAAACTGAAATAAAATGAAACAACTCAAATAGCCTGTAAAATGTAAGTGAATTTAAAACGCAAACAAACGATATAGAAAAGAAAGGAAAGACGAGGAAAACTAAAAGAAGCGATTTTTTCTTAGGATGATTGTCCAATCGGAAAGCTACATGTCGAAATTCCGGAATGTTCTTCCAAACGATGATTGAATAGAATGCCTTCGGCTCTTTCAGAGATTCTCGGAGCTTCCTTGAGTTCACTGGGATCTGTTCCTACATTTACCCTACATAGAATTATAATTTACCCATTAATAAGTATTACGTAGGGCTATCAGGGATTAAAAACAGGCTGTTAGTTATTTCTTTGTCATCTGAAATTTTCGATTAGTCTGGAATTATTAGAAACATTTCCCAATTTAATGGATCGTAGAAATTGTAAGCTGTAACACTGTATATTAAGCAGTAGAATATTAATAAAATATGATAGTTGAATTATTACTTAAGTTAGTATCATATAAGCTATTTCTTAGTTACTAATCTCTCTTGGCTCTAGTGAATAATAATTATTCGGTAGAAGCTTGATTGGGTCGTATCTTGAAGCTCAGACATGAAACCAATGTAATTTAAATTAAGACTACATGACAGCTTTAATGGACTATGTGATCTTTTACCAGAAAACAGTGTTAATATGGCTTACAAGTTTAAATCATCAGAGCGGTTTTAACGGATTATTTTTCAAGATAATTCCTGAGCCTTCATATATCAATCGCCTTGATAATCGTTGTTCCTACGATGTATAAATTTCAGAGAGCAACACAAAGCGCCGACTACAGTTTGTCACTGAAAAGCACAAATCAATAGGCCCTTAGTACATTAACTAAATTCGAGCAGAAACGCTAATGTAAGCAACCGAATACAGAGGCGAGTTAAAAGTCGAATAAAGAATCAAATGAAGATTTGAATCAGTTAATAAGATTCAAGCACATATTTATGAGAAAGCGAATGATTCATCAAGCTATTTAGGAAACTAACATTTAAACAGAAAAAAGGGATATATGCGTAGGTTGTCACGTATGATCAAGCCTACATGTTCATACTGAGCATGATAATAATAACAAGGTTTAGAATTGTTACTGTTCGAACAATACTGTCTGTTAAATAAGTTAATTGACTGGCTTGACAAAATTAAATGTAAACAAACTTAAGTGTAAGAGAAGTGAAATAAGGTTAATGTTTGACACTAAAATGAAACGAGTGAATGCTGTTTTCTATATTTTGCACTTTCAAACAACAACTGTACGTTTGCCCATTTAACAGAACATTTGAAATTTTATCTACTACCTGATAATATATCTTAATAGTTGAATTCATGATTCAGTGAGACTATAATTTATGGACGACCTTTGAGTGACGCTGAAGTGAACTTAAGGGTGGATACCTACAGATTAGGACTAAATGAGAGTTATGAAGCATTTAGAATTCTCATTTACAGTTGATGTTCAGGGTTAAAAATTGAATTTAAGGTCTTCGTCAAGAACTGACACCAGCTATAATGCAAGAAAACTATTTAGCCGAATGTATGGATGAATTTCGAGCCGAAATTCGTCACTCCTTGTCTTATATCTGATCGGTTCTTCCATAAATTATAGTCTCGCCCATGATTCAATCTAGACCACCATGGGAAACCTGAAAGCACTGGACGGCCATTTCATCCTAGTGAGGGAATCCTCAGCAGTATACATCCGCGATCCCGCACATGGGACACGAACCCGGGACCTTCAGTCTCATGAACGAACGCTTAACCTCCAGACCACTGAACCGGCTGGCATCCAACGGTGTTGATGTATAACTTCAGTCGATCCATGATCTTGCTCAACCCTTCATTCACTGTCTGAGGTGGATAACTGTGTCACACTCTATACGGATTGTATTCTACTGGTCACAGATTCTCACTAGAACTCCAGGAAATCCATCTTGAAACAAGTCACTAGTGAGCACGTGATGACTTTTGTCAGAATGAGGGTTTGTGGAGATTGCAGTAAACCCCCATTTTAATAATAATGTTACATTGATTATACAAACCTTATTACAGATAACATGCGTACGATAACAAAATGTTATATACTATTTAAAGAAGTTTAAATAAACTCAAAAACTAACCTCCTGATAACATAAATATAATAATTAACTCCTTTTTCGGTTGATGTTGTTTATAGGTCTCTTTAAATGAACAATATGTAAATGTCAAAACCGGTTTCATCACTAACTTGTATTCCATATCTTTCGACCCTAAGAAATAGTAATAAATTATTTATCGACCATTATTATATTTCCAAGCTGGATGTGTTCCCCTCATTTACACGTTTTAGTTTAGCAAATCAACACTCATAAATGAAATGATGGTTAGTGTATATTATAAAAATGTGAGATAGCTCACTTTTACTCATTCTAAGGTTAGCATCAACTTAACAAGAAAGATGTAGATAGTTAAAATTTAAAATCTTAATAGAATAACTCGATTACTAGTGTGATTAATATTTGTAACAAACCTACTTCACTTTTCCGGTCCCCACTACTCAATGTAAACAACACACTATCAATGATCAAATCAATATACCAGTAACCAAATTTTATGTAAAAATCAATTAAAGCAACAATAGTTATATCCACTTTTAACTTCAATTGATTACTTATTGGCTCAAGATTTCATTCCCAATTAGACGACTGAAATGACTAGGTTATGAACATAAGTCTTCCACTTCATCCCATATATTACACCTAGACGGTGTTAATAAAATGCTTAATATGGATTAGGTTGGTTGAGCTTATTTCATATACTTGTTTGCTTGGACAGATATTAAGATGAAGAGCGGGAAAGCGGAGCGGAGAAGGTAAATGTACCTAGCCCATTTGACAAAATATGACTTATTATTGTAGTCAGATAGAAAGTAAGCTAAAGAGATGTAATGAATGGTGTAATTGCTACACACATACACGCTCACGCAAAAAACAGTCAAGGTTATAAGAGATTGATTGACAAGGCCAAACCATGTGGATAATAGCTCAAGAAGAATAAATTAACTAGTCTGTCTAAAAGTTAGAATAACTCGTGTAGGCACGACATTGTTATGTTAACTTATCACTTAGTTTAGATAACTTTAACAAAGATAAGAAAAGTAGTTACGTAAGAATCAAGAAATGAAGGTTGAGAAGTTATAAAGTTCAAAGGCAACAGAAACAAAATTACAAAAAAAAACAAGTGGAAGAAGTACGAAAAATAGTTCTTTGAAGGAAATCTTATACCGATGGCCAGAGCAGCGAAAGTGGTTGTACAAATCTCTTTCGAATGCAAAGATTAGGTTTGTGAACATGAATTGCGATGGCTTCCACAATGTGCAAAAGGTGCACTCATAAACCATGTGGCAAATTTGATGGGATATTGTAGATAACCTTGAAAGCTTTATTCAATTCAACTTGATGACCTGTGTCAATCAAGTGAGAGAGAATAGAACTTTTAATCACGTTTACTTGTCCTTTTCTTAACCATGACGGATGATGTTCTGTAATACGATGACGAACTTGACGAATTGTACGCCCTATATAACTAGCTCCACAGGAGCAGTCGAACCGATAGATACACATGGATTTAACGAATTCAGGTAATCTGTCTTTATTGGCCGTCCTTATTTTTGGGTGGTTGTAGAAGATGGCATTTAATCTGTTTTTTGTACAGCTTTTCTTAGTTTCTGAGTCACAATTTCCTCAGTGGTGTCATTTTTGACACAGTACCTTCCTAGGGACGGTGGGTATATTTATCCTTGTGTTTCTTCTCTATTTATATGACTAGACAATAAATCCATTTTAGAACTAATATTATTGTTACGATGTTAATAGTTGTTATAGTGCTTTATTAGAAACGTTTCTAAGATGATAAAACTTATAAATCTGATCAAATAATGGGAAAGATCCAATTAAAAGCATCATTTTCATTATTGATTCATGAAAACCATGCACAATATATTTAATCATTATTAAATAACTAATCTAACTGACAATTATCAACTTTGTATTTAGAGAAATGTAACTTTCCCCCTCCCCCCTCTCATCCATATTTAATTACTTGAAATAGGATCTATGGGAAATATAGGTTAGATTTTAAGGGAAAATCCAGTACATTCAAATATATATAATTACCAATACTGTTTACAAAATATCATAAATGACAGCAAACAATTTTACAATTTGTATACAGACCATTATTTTCATTCCCGCAATAATAAATTAGTTGGGAATTGTTTCTTTGTATAAACAAGATATATATATATTCAAATTGATCTATGTATAGTATGTTCTTTATGTCCTATAATAATTACAATAAAATACCAAGCGTAGTTGTTGTTGGGTTGTATTTTTGTTTGTGGAAAACTGATGGATAACAACTTGATCCCTTGAAAAATTGTAACAAATCAAGAACACCTAAGTCTGAAGAATAAAATGAGATTAGTCTGTTTTTTTAGGCTTCAATTGACTCATAATCTCTACTATTAAATTACTATAATGTCCACAAAAAAACCATCTCTGATATTCAGTCGTTAGTCAGTCAGCTACAACGTAGGACCACGCACATATGTGAATCGGTCCAAGTTGCCATACCTCATTAGCAAAACAAGATGAACACCGGATTCATAGAAGTAGTTAATTCAGAGGTGGCAATATATAAAAGAAAGATTACATGTAAGGATATAGTACAGAAAGAAAGAATTAGTTCGTAGAAAGAAATATATGAAGCGATTTTAATGTCATAGTTTACTGGAAGACAGAGAGTGTATACAGCCACGACATTGTGATCGATTCTGAGCCATGTCACAAAGAGTCTCCAACCATTAACGACAATAGTCACGCGGACCACAACCAAGTAGTCTGCATCTACCAACATGCCTAAGACTAGAAGTTAGTGACTTCAAGCACTGATGCCACGTTTTGGTTTGGCCGCCCCTAACTTTCTTCCAACCATCCTCAACACTAGCCAGCATTGCGCGTCACGGTAATCGGTGTTCATGTATACGTAACACGTGGCCCAACCATCTCAGTCGATGAAGATTCACAATCTCATCATCTGACTTACAATCATTCCCTAATACCCTGCGTCTAACCTCACTATTACTTACCCGATGATCCCAGCAGACGTGAGCAATATTTCTAAGGCATCTGTGGTCAAATACTAGTAGTTTACGAATATCTTCTACTCTGGTATCAATGTAATATAATTAAAAAAACAAAAGTTTGTCATAATCTCATGAATAAAGTTAAGATGGATGTTCAAAATAGAACCAAAAATCGTAATAAGAAGAACAAGACGTATAATATTTGACTAAGCACAATTAAGACTGACGTGTATAAAAAGTACGTGAATAAAATTACGGTATTCTAAGAGTGTTTGGGCATATACTTTTTAAAATAAATGAACCATTATAATGATGGTTACGAAGTATGTAACTCAAAAGTCCTTGAGAATTGTAAGTTTGTTTGCGAACCTGTTCTGAGAAGGAGAAATTGTAGAAATATTTAAATCAAAAGTTCATCATTGTAGAAAACTTAGATTATTATTATTTTTTTATTATTATTATTAGCTTTATTCAATATTATAATTTTGGTACAATATAGAATTCTCAGCGCAAAGTATTTCAACAAGTTTCCGTTTCTTTCTTCTTGGTCGGTCCTGGCGATAAATATTGAGGAATCGCCAGTTAGATGTTAGCACTTCAGTGAGTGAACAACTGAATAATGTACATTCTTTTCGTTGTACATTGCCAGCAACCATATTGTCTCTTATTGAGTTTTCTGTAACTTTGACAACGAAAGGTTGTACACTTTTCAGAAACGCAGCAGAATAGGTTATGCGATTAATAAACATAATGATATATTAAAACAAACAACAATAGATAACTTGTTGAAATATCTAGATGGCAGGAACAGGTAGCCCAGATGCTCAAGCAGGCCGCCCTTACTATTTATAATGAAGTCTAAGTTAAGAAAAGGACCATAAAAGTAAATCCCTTCATAATTCATCCCGAATTCCTATCTTTTTCCCCCGTTAACAGGTAAACCATTGAGTCCAACTCAAAATAATTTGAATGGTTTCAATGGATTCTTCACTGAGGTAAGTTTGTAACTTGCAATATTTGTATATTGTCAACAATGTTTTCTTTTCGAAAAATTAATAGTTCGTCTATGTTCTCATTTCTTAATTAAAAAGATTCAAGTTCATGAATTTCGTATAACTAATGATTTCATTTGAAAATACTATTCAATAATACACTGCCCCGGTAATAATGACAATGATAGTAATACAAGTGATTCAACATCATTTGGATAATTTTGTTTGAATTATGGAATGCTTAGGATGAAGTCAGTTAATATAAAATAAGAGACAGTCTCAATTAATCACTTTCACATCATTTGAAGCAATTAGATTAGTTTATAAACAGAAAAGTTTGGTGGTTAGATGGATAGTGGCTAGCAGTGTAAATCAAGACACGCGTTTCATCCTACTTGAGACTCGTCAGCTCATCTTGAATTCGGATGCTAACAATCATCCATTTCTGTCTAGAACGCTTGTGATGTATTGACAATATCGAGGCAGTCCTCATGGGATACAAACATGTCAAAAAGATACTGATCAATTGCAGTCCTAAACATCAATGGGAAGATTCAGATAATCAATACAAATGAATTACATTAGTTAGTCAGAATAGAATCTAAAAAATGACTAAGCTGTGCCAATTGTTGACAATCATGAAATTACTTACTTACGCCTGTTAGAATAGTCAAATAATGTAAACTATTTAACTTTGTATCACTTCCGTTGACTAATCACGTTAGTAAAACGTAGAAATAAATAGTCACATATGAGTTGAATTTTAGATATATATGTATTTCAGAAACTTGGATGAGACGACAAAATGAATGAGTGAATATGAAAAGGGAATAGATGTAGACAGAAGGAGCTGTAAAAGCTTAATTAATAATAGGTAACTTATTCTTTAAACAAAGTAAATAGTATGGGAATTATAAATAACTAATTAGACTGTAAATGTTAAGAACACACTCAGTGAGCACAACTAAAATATCTTTGAAGTTAGTAGTGAATAATCAATAGGAGAACATGTATGAAAATAGGCAAAGAATAGTGTAGATAAACAGTTACAGACATCCATTCATATAACATAAATAATAAATAACTTCAATCGGTTTATGATCTCAATCAAAAACTTAATAATCTCCGCAACCGCTATACTGGTAATTAACATGTACTCACTAGTGACTAGCTTCGTGAGGGAGTTCTATGAGTTCTTGTGAGAAGCCGTGACCAGTGGAGCTAATACGTGTCGGGTGGAGATAGGTATCTACCACAGTACAATCGAAGATGGTCGCGTAATTTCATGGATTGGTTGATGTTAGACATTACCACAATTGGATACCGGCTCAGTGGTCCAGTAGGTTAAGCGTTCTCACGTGAGACTGAAGGCCCTGAGTTCGAACCTGGAGAGCGGGATCGTGTATGCGCACTGCTGAGGAGTCCCATACTAGGACGAAACGGCTGTCCAGTGCTTCCAGGTTTCCAATGGTGGCCTAACATCAATCGGTTCATGGTCTCAATCAAAAACGTAATAATCTCCACAACCCCTATACCAATAAATTTATAATCAGACATGAAACGGTTAGAAATGGATCACACCATAATATGTACTAGTCTGTCATATTAATTCATGATCGAATTGAAAATTTAACTAGGTATTTAACATTCAAGTTTAATATCAGATGGGTTTTGTGGAGAATGTAGTAATTTCGATGGTTAAGACCATGAGTCAGTTTTCCATGGTGGTCTAGCTTCAACTGGCTCATGATCTTATCCATTGAAATACAAGTTTAAATAAATCCTTATAAAATAAGCTACCATGGTTCCATTGAATGATTCAATATGCACTTCGTAGTAATTTCTATGGTGACTAAACCACATTAATCAATATTAAATATGATCACTTCAGCAGAACCATAAATCTTACTGAGCTGTATAGCTATTAATAGTCAAAAATTGATCTACGACAGTAAATTGTTATTATTTGTTAATAATACAATTTCAGTCAATACAAAGAAGTACAACTAGAAAATGTTTGAACAAACGATCATTTAGACTATGCCCCATTATGAATTTGTACATGAAGTACTGCTGGCTAACACCCTCAAATGTTTCTGTCTAACCATACTACTTTCTTTTATAAATAAATGATCAATTAACAATTGAAATAGATACAAACACTGACTTATAAGAATGGTTCATTTTAGACTATACAAATAAGACCATAATTCATCTGAAATACCAAAATATTCATATTTCAAGTGAATAAACATTATGGTTTAAAAAAACTGATATTTCTTTCTTGTTTGTTCAATTAAAGGATTACGGTCACTAGCGATAAAATAGAGTTACAAATTAGTGTAAATTCTTATTTACTATTCATTAGATATAAGGGGTTAGTGTTCTTGTCGCAAGGTTGTTTTCTACAGGATAGGGATGCTGATCTCACACCTAACCCTCCTCCTTTGTTTGGGCTTTGGATCGTCAGTAGCCCTAGAACAGCTACAGGCGGAGAATTACTACAACCATCATCAAAAAAGTACCAGTATTTATAAACACTTGTTTACACAAGATATTTAATGTCTGTTGATTAGATACCATCAGCAACACCATTCTGTGAGAGAGAACAAACCAACTTCAATTTGAAGAGGGAGTTAGGAAAAGACGATCGAGATGAATAGGACGCACATTGTGGAAATCATCAAACTGCATCACGAAACAAGCACTAACTTGTAATCCTGAAGGGAAAGGAAAAAGAAAAAAACCAAAGAACCCACTGTGTCGAGAATTGGAAGCAGACATTAGAAGGATGAATCACAGCTGTAAACGACTGGAGAGGATTGCTTAGAACAGAGTTGGATGTAGGAGCCTTGTGGACTGCCAATGCTCCTCGAGGAGAGGTTACAGGCGTAAGTAAGTAAGTAAGATATCAGGAGTATTCTCATAGTAATCAAATTTCTTCACTGTGTGTCTAGGAAACACTGAATAAAAGGAAAGCTGATTAACTCTTTACATAACAATATATTTACAATTATTGTACTCTATGAGTTTAATTTTCAATAATTATGAGATATAAACTAATACTTTCTACATTATTCTACTTCATAAATGAAGGTTGTTACAGCTCCTTGGGTTGGTGGTTCAACATCTCCAGTTGTTTACCCAACTCCATGTAACTATCCCACTATATACAATACAGGTGTTAACCGTTCAAGAGGTTGTATAGCAAATCCTAATGCTTGTTGGTCACCTACAACTACTTTATGTAAATCACCTATTTCTAATCATGAAAATCAACGAAAATGTATGCAAACACCAACTACAATGTATCATTCATCACCATCACATGGATTCAGAATATTACCAACATTTGGTGTTACTAGTAATTGTGTTGGTGTTGGAAATAATCGACAATTTGATTCCCCTGTTTCAGGTGTAAATCCATCATTCTCTGGACTACCTAATGGTTATATTCTTCAAAATTATAGTTTACGCGATGATGACGATGATGTTGATGATGATGATGAAGGTAATGGAATATTTCATGATATAACACCAAATAATGAAATAAATAATAAAACTATTAAAACTAATGATGAAAGACAAAATCTGAAAAATCCTAAATCGGAACAAATTTTTCCAAAATCATTAGCTAATAATCTTCATTGTCAAAATAAATTACCTGAAACAGATATGATAAGATCATTTTCATCATTGAAACGAACAGCTATTAGTCTTGAAGAGATTAATGATTACAAAGATGAAACAAATTCTAAAAATTGTAAGTTTTATAAAAGAATTATTTTTTCTCCTTAATCAAATTATAAGTCAAGTATTTCTATTGAATAGATTCACTTGAACTTTGAATATAATGATGATTAAAATTATTATTAGTCAGGGGAGTTCTACTCTGCCAGAGAAGTCCCACTCTCTGCCCTCTCATGGCGGAAGTGTTGTTTACGAAATTGAGAGAACGAACAGCGAATGTACGGCGCTTCAGCTGGGTGGGTGGACATGGAGAGTCCACCTGGTGAAGTCGGAAAATCCTGATTCCAAATGGATGGTGCACATGAGCTCCAGTATCCTGAAGGAACCATTGGCGTATGAACCAATCATTGGTCACCGGCTACCATGGGACTGCATCTCCTTACGTTGCTCCACTGCCTTGCGAATTAGACCTTCTGGTCAAAAGCTCTGGATGTGACCCCCATGAAAATCACTTGCTACGGTTTGGGCACCCGGGCAGTATCCCAGACCCCACAGAAATCGAATGATTTATATGGCGCATTTCTATTTGGTGCCTCCTTGCACCGATGTTTATGTGTTTAACCAAATAAATAAATAAATAAAAACTTTAATAGCAAACACTGAGGGTAACAATGGCGTTTTATATTTAAAAGATTGAAACTTTGTGTAATTTTAAATTTTTACAAACTTTGTTCTTAATAAACTTAAACAAAGGAGAATGTGGTTGATTTTTGTTATAAAAAAATAGAGTTCTAAAGGCCGCAATACTTTTGGTGGAGTTTCGTTCTATTAGCTAAATTGTTTAGTCGTGGAGGTAACACTGTTGTCCTGAACAACATTATCAACACAAATTTCAAGGAGAAGTAAAGTGTTCGAGTTTTTCCATATATGACTCACAACTTGTCCTGTCCACATCGATCTTGATTCATTATTAGTTACCTGTAACCTGTCATTGTCTACTTCTCTATTTTGATCATATCTCCATTTGATCTGATCATCGGTCCTACACTTGTCCATGAGTTTTCAGAATGGTTGATAAATTGTACCAACTTCTAAGTGTTTGTTGATTGCTGATTGACCTGAATGTCAAGTATTTAAAAATTTCTCTGATGTTATTGGTAGACACTCTATTCAAGATTTCAACATTTTTCTAGTCGAATGTGTGTCCATGGTTATCTACATGGAGTGATATAAGCGAAGGTGTGTCATGGAGTTTGATCACTAATTGATGTTCGTGTAGACGAAAAGGAGGTTGGGGGGGTCAACTTTGTTGGATATAGTGTTTTTCGTAAATCCACTAGAGCTTCAAATCTTCTCCGCCTTTCCAATGCTTTGTTTTACTTTCCTGTTTGTAAATTATCCTTCGAAATCCGAAAAAAATATGTACATAGATTCTACTTGATGATGATAACAATACAAGTAATGATCAATGAAAGTGATTTGTAATACTGACTAATTTAATAAATGCTTATAATTCTGCTTCACATAAGTAAAATAATTTCTCATCTTTTGTGGGGTTCTTAAATAAAACAGTTGTTTTTCCGATAGAACGGCGTAGATATAGAACCATTGTCATCGGTTTCAGTGTATGAAGTGTTTCACCTATTTTATAACAATCTTAAACCTAATTCATATTAGTGGATTGTGTTCTGAAAAGTCACAGTGAATTACAATAATTTGACTATATATAGAATTTCCCATAGAATTTAGACTTTGCTTTCTAATTTATGGATACTATTGTCTACTACGAAATGAATCATTAAAGTACTTGTTTGAGATATGATGTTTTTATTAACGGAGCATATTTTACCATATATTCTAGTATTTTTACTGTAATTCCGAAGAAATAACTGTCGTTTATCTAATTAACATCAAGAATGTTACTTACGATTGGTCAGAATCTTACTTATCAGTAATTCAGCATGCTGAAAACATTTTAATTGTGTGAGTTGAAGCGAACAACAAGAACCTTGAAACTGGCGCTAATACATGCATACAATTGCTCGCATGGCTTATTATCAGCTGTGGTATTTCAACTTGTGACATCAATATTTCACAATAAGCAATAATGAACGCGTCATTCTTAGTTCTCTTGTGCAATTCAGTCAGATGTCTTTTTGGAAATCCGAAAGAAATTTCAAAAGTTTCGAAGTGGATATTGTTTGTAACGTTCATTTTTAGTCACCAAGGTGGGACGGGTTTCATGTATACACAATTATTAATATATACCAATAAAACTTAATGAGTGAGCTTTCTTACAATTTATCAAGCCATGAGTTTCCAACATATTATCATGATTTGAAAATGTTTAGCTTAATAAGTTTTACATAAAGATGGTAAACTTTCACTGACTTATATAAGACTATTTCAGAACTTTTTCTACTTTCCACAACTTGTCTCACTCACTTTATAAATATTTTGAAAATTAAATTTGATCTAATATAAATAGTTAAATAATGCCCATGCCGATTAAAATGCGTTTAGTAAAACGAATTCAAACACTTGTTATAATACAATGAAAACTTAATCATTCGTTTACGATACATGGATTGTGACTAGGAATGTAACCTAGGATAATTATTTCTTCATATTTGTGACTATTTAGTTATTGATCGAAACTATAAAACCGATTGAAAACCTGGAAGCATAGGAAGGCCGTTTCGTCTTATCATGGGACTCCTCAGAAGTGCGTACCCACGATCCCACTCTCAGGATTCGAACTCAGGGCCTTCAGTCTCACGTGTGAACGCTCAACTTATTGGACCACTGAGCCGGCCGGCTTCCAATGGTGTTAATGTCTAACACCAACCAACCCACTAAATTACGCGACCATCTTCGATTGTACTGTTGTAGATACCTGTCTCTACCCGACACAGATTAGCTGCACTGGATGCACACTGCTAAGGAATCTCACAATAGGACGAAACGGCCGTCTAGTGCTTCCAGGTTTTCAGTGGTGGTCTAACACCAATCGGTTCATGATCTTAATCGAAAACTTAATAATCTCCACAACTCTATACTGACTATTTAGTTCGATGTTCAGGTATCCTAATAAGTGATGTGCACATTCAGTCTTGAACTCAATACATTTCTCTTAGAATACCAACTCCTTATCCACTAATTTACTGAATCCAATAAACCACTAGGTCTTATACGTTCATAGTCGAAAAAATAAATTATTTGTTATGAAATAAATAATACACTGATTATAAATAGGTATTAAATGAATAGCTTAACAAGCCTGGGATAGACAGAAAAGTGAATATTCCATTTGAATTTGCTTCAAATACTTCAATCAGCATTACTTATTATTGAACTATAACGAAACCGCCACTGAATCCAATCAAATTTATCCCAAATTTTGTATTTTAATTAAAACAATTTTTTCTTAATGAATAAACAGAAAAAATATTCAATCCAAATGTCTTTGGTTAAACATGGGAAAAATGGTTACATTAAATGTTCAATTTTATTCATCATTTAATAATTACTTACTTATTTAAACTTGTTACCCCCCCCCCAATGGACTATCGGCCGCCAACCAACATTCTCCAACCCATTCTGTCCTAGGTTTTCCTCTCTTTTTTTATTAGTTCTATCCAATTGTTGTTTATTTTTCTCATCATTTTATAAGAAGATGAAACGAATCTCAGCATGGGTGTATAAACTTCAAATACCATTGTCATAAAATTATACGGAAATCAATGAAGAAAACATTTTACAATTGTATGTATCTTTACAGAATAAATAATTAGCTTCATGTATAATTCAAATATTACAGAAAAGAACTATTCATAGTAATTCTAATTATGGATTATATTCGTCGAATTAATTCTACGGTAATAACTTGATAGTAAACATAAACCACAATTGATTGATCACCACCCAGTGACCAATCAATTGTGATTACATCTCAGTCCTACAGGAGGTTAGTCACGGCTCGGATAGCTCAGTGGTAACGTCTGTGACTGTGAAGCTGGGTGACACGAGATCGAATCCACCAGGGAGCACCAGTTCCCTCAAGATTACAGGTACACCTTGCTGACGAGTGCCAAGTAGCACGAAACCCGGGTCCAGGGTTTCCAGTTCACTACCTCCAACCACCATCTAAATCTCAGTAAACATAAACATTGGTACAAAAGAGGCACTGAATATATATGTGCCACACAATACCAATGAGGTTGTGGGGAGATAGAGAATGTAAAGTGTATATAATTAAAAAAAGAACAACAACAACGAACAGAAATTACTGTATGGCGGTGAAATAATAATAATAATGGGAAAAGCAGTTCACTTGGTAACAATATAACCAGAAAGAATTCTTTGAGTTATAGAAGTTACATTCATTTTTTTAATGAAGGAATTAAAAGAAAATTACAGCTGAATCACTACTGGCTTTTAGTTTGAACCATATCTGATTGTTATAATTTGTCGTTTGAATACTTATTGTCTTGGCTCTTTTGATGCTACTTTTTGTATCTGGTCGTCACTGATTGTTATGTCGGAAATGCTTATCACTTATACTCGGAATGAGGGACCTCTGCAATTCCCATGATGTGAAAGTAAGAACACAAAAACTCGTATAAGTGCAGATTTATTAAGCCAAAACACTATGACGACGACGACTCTAGTAGAAAATACACTCATTTATATATTGATTGCACACCCATTTTGATTAATAATTAGGATGAAATCACATATATGAAAAATACTTAGAGTTATAACAAATCACATGCAGAGCATAGTTCATGTCAATGGAATACAAGAATATCGTATATTATACAGAATAAAATATCATACGAGAGAATAAAACAAATATTACATTGAGTAATCATTACATTGAATCAAAACGGAACTCATCTTGAACTAAACTCATAATAATTAAATCAGTGGAATTTTGACTTTTCTTTAAATCATATCACTGATAACATCTCTAGCCACTGTGTTGCATCGTCTCTAGGGTTCTAACCAGGGAAGGAGCAACAGAAGATAGTCCTGCACAGATTCCTTTCATACCACGATAATATGTCATACATTGACTACCTCTCGGCTTTTTCCAACAGGTCCATGTGTCGATAAATAATGCACGGCTTGGAATTTTCTGAGACGACATTCATAGGACAAGTCTTCCGAGTCTTCAGAGTCAACGTTTAAGGATGGTAACGACAAGTGAGTTATCGTCACTGTTTCAGAACACACGATCCCGAACCTCTGCATTACTAACATGTTGATGTACATCTGCAACGACTGTGTTGGTAGTTAGTGCTAACCAGAAACATTATGTAGTCTGCGCAAAGTTTCAGTAAACGGTTACCGTTATCTGACTTGTGACAAACAAGTCCCCATCGGCCACCTAAATGACTCTCTTCTGTGCCTAGATGCGCGATCTGAGCATTCAAGTCTCCGGCTAGTACTACAATATCTGTAGAAGGACAGTTAACTGGTTATAAAACTGGTGCTTTAACACATCCGGGCTGCAATCTGTCGGAGCGCAGGCGGAGATGATGGAAAGACATCGATTCTCACACCGATTTCTTCTCACATTGATCGAGCTTTCTAATCTAACAGCATATAACCGACTGCTGATGGGGATCCCGTCGATCAGCGCCTCCTCAGCTCTAGCGCTTAGTGCGACAACAACGCTAACAAAACCAGACGATCCAACAGGGTTACCGGATAAATGCATGGGAAAGAAGCTTTTCGAAGCGAAAGATGGAGAGCGAATTTACAGTGCATCACCGGAGTCTTGAATATGGGTCTTGGATAGACAACAGACGTCGATATTAAGGCTTTCTAAAGACATAGCAAACCCTATCTGTTGTCCGATTCACATTAGTGTGTGAAAATTTGAAGGAAATCGGTTTGAATGGTATACGTGGTTTCAGAAAGACTGTTTCAGTATTCGTGTTTAGTGGTGGCATTCAAATTTAGACCAGTCAGTGGCTCGAGATCATTTAGATACAACAGGGTTTCCACCATAGGTGGATTGCTGTATAACTTGAAAAACGAGGGTACGCAAAGTGTGAATAGGAGAGAGTAGATGAGTGACGTGGTACAAAAGAAATTAGAACGAATTTTACCAAATGAATGTGAATATGATTTATCTGAAGTAAGAATTATTTTTCCAGTATCAGTTACTATTTGATTTGTCTGTGAGTTGAGACACTATCCGAGTTCCCAAAGTGAGGCAAGTGATTTTCTTAGGCAGCCATGCCCTGAGCCTTTGATCTCAAGGTTTGGTCCATAAGGCAGTGGAGAAACGTTAAGAGATGCAGTCCTATGATGGTCAGTGACCAACAGTAGGTTCATATGCCATTTGTTATCTCACAATCCTGGAACCAATGTACACCATTGATTTGGAATTAGAATTTTCCGACTCCCCTAGATGGATGTTCTGTGTCCATCAACACAGTCAAATCGCCAGACATTCACTTTTCATTCAGTCAATTTCGCGAAGGCTGTGAGTATGACTTCCTTGGCAGTTACTGTAGGCGCGAGGCCATACTAGAGCATTTCGAGATGGAAAGCAGGTTTTCCCAATCCTCGGCCACACCAGACCATTTGAGGGCCACATGAGAATCACTAAACTTTCCAGGAATAGTGAGAAACCTAATTAATCCAAGTTGCAAATGCTTCGGACTATCCAGCTGCTAATATTTTGGTCAAGATTTGGTCATTTTTACCAGGAGTATGTACATTTCGTGTAGTCATAATAATATATGTTTACAAAGAATAGATGGGATATGGCTAGCAATAGGATTCAGAATAAGCGTTTCATCCTATTTAAGGCTCTTCATATGTGGAGCAGGTTATATATGTTGCACAAAGCGAGCTCTTTCAAAATCAATCTCCAAACATTACCCTGTCTAGCTCTCCGAAGGATCACAGAAGTCATTCAAAAGCTCAATCTTAGAGCTTCACCAGAAGCCTTCTCCAAAATCATGCATATAGTCAGAAGGGTTGGCTCAATAGGAATGTAAATGAAAAACTTATGTGTAGCATAAGCTATTGCTGTCCACCAGTTTAAGCCAAACCTTTGCGTATAAAAATGGTATTTTCAGTCCCTCATTCTTCCGTCGACTTAACCATCCTTCCAATCTTCCATAACTCATCTTTTTTTATTTGTTTTATCATTTCTAATCCTTTCCAATAATTTTCACAATTATTAACATTTGTATTGATTTCAACATCTTTACATGAAAACCTAATAAGAGATATGGCTACATTTTATGTTTAAACCGGAGAAAGATTAACTTCCATTAAAGAAAATAGTAGCAAATTCGATATGTTTCACGTTTGTTCCAGACTCTGTATTGACTTCTAGACGACTACGTTAATTCTAAAGCTTGTAGCTAATATTTCAAACCAATTGTCAAAGGGGACAATCATTTCCTTAATTCGAAAATCTTACTTCACAAAATCGGATCAAATAAGATACACTCTAAATCTCACATTTGTTTCTGAACACGAAGAAGCAAATTTTTATAAACCGTTGATTTCCAGTGATCTCTCGGTGTTCAAGTCATCCTAATGTCTATATTAAAAATCAACTGTTTGTAACATAGTTAAATTAATTTTTATATGAACATTATACGTGTATACATATCTTTGCCCTGACTGTTTTCATGAAACTATTTTAATTGCATGTTCAGTGTGATCATTACTAAAATTATCATCATAATCATGGCAAAATTTCACTCATATATTGTGTTTTATTTATACATGTTTCAACTCTTTTGGCCATAAATCACTTCTTTGAAGTATATTACTCTTATCCCTTCCTTATATGATTATGAATGGAACATTTTTAAAGCAATAACCATTTTATCCTAGTATAGAACTTCTCAGTAGTGGAGTAAGACCATGTTCATCATGAGACAGTTAACAACCATAGTCAGTAGAATATGGTCGCGAACTATAGTTTGAGTTTGTGTATGAGACTGGAGCTCTTGAGTTCGATTCCCACATGAAGGGTTATGGATGTACGTTTCTAAGAAGGCCTACACTAGGATGGAACGGCTAATCCTTATTCTCACTGAAAGTTATGATTGTTAATTCCTAATTTCATTATATAAAATTAAATTTGACTATGAAGTTTGAATTATATTCATCATATTTATTCCATGTTTAAAATGCACATATTTTTTTAAATAACCTTATAGATAGTCGTTTAGTACGTTTCCAGTTAGCACAAGGTGATATACATGAAAATGATCCTGTGCATAATAATATACCAATATCATCTAGAAATGAATATCAAACATTAACATCATTTCATCGTGGTGATGATGATGATAAACAATTGAATAAATCTTCACCATTATTTTGTAGTTGGATAAAATCTGATCAACATCAACCAATTGAATCATTCCTAAATCCATATGATCAATTAAATTGTAAAACACAATTGAAATCATCCAAACCAAACAATATTAATAATAATAGTAATAGTGGGAAACAAAATCATACTATTACAACCAATAATAATAATAATAGTGGTGGTGGTGGTGGTAATAGCAACAACAATAACAATAACAATGGTAACATTCATAGTATATTCCCAGATTTTTTTCAATTACAACCATTGACACATTCACAATTAACTGATAATCACAAAACACCATCATGTGAGAATTTATGTCCATCGGATGATTTTTATATGTCAACAATCAAATCCAATAAAAAGTCTATTAATAATACTGATAACATATTCGGTAACAGTAATCATAATCATAATAATAAACTAATGCCTACATTGAATAAATGTAATTTATTAAATAATAATCATTCATTAACAAATTATCCAACAACAATTGAATGTACACATAATATATCAAATGATTTGAATAAATCACCCAATCAATTAATGGAAGGGGAGAAAAAAATGAAAACAACACGTCAATCAAAAATGGTTACGTTGATTTCACCAAAAAAGGATTCATCAGTAATCATTAACAATAATAATACTAATAATAATAGTAATGATACGAATGAAATGCATAACTTATATGATGATAATAATAATAATAAAGGAAATACTAATGTAAATAAATCTTTAAATGCTGAAGGTAGTTTTGTTTAATGTCATAGTAACAAAATTATAATGATTAGATTTAATCATTCTCTCTTTCTTTATATATATATATATATATATGGATAAATATAAACATAAAATTATGTAATTAGAAATGCAATTTTTGAAAAGAAAAAAAAGGCATTTTTTTCTCTTCATTTCCCTTCTCCACCCTACCCCCCTCAAACACACACACACACACTCACGAACCAATTTATACACCTATTGCATTTAGCTCATCTTCCCTCTATTTTTTTTTCTCTTTTTTTTTCAAAAATGAAATCGATTTAAATTTACACACCTCACCGATTCAATGTCCGATGCGTAAAATTTTAAAATTACTTCTCAGTTGTTACTATATATATATACATATTGAGTAAAATGATTACAGAAAAATAATAAAAGAGATTCCATCTTAAAAGTAGACATTTCAATAATTCCATTATGTAATTATTTACTGGATAGAAATCAAAAGTGTTATTTATTATTGTATTGTATTGTATTGATGAAATTACCAATATAGGGAAGTACCGTACAATGCTGGTCTATGCTTCATTTGAGGGTAATAGGCCTAGGTAAAGTAATATATACATACGTTTTTCTTACTTTTATTATTTGTACAGTTATAAAAAGCACAAACATTTATTTCTTTTACAAGACAACATTATCCCGAAATCATTTTCCTTTTTGTAAAACCTTCAGAACTGTTCTAGTAATCTATTCACAGACATTTCAATGCTCATCTTGAATATTTTTTACAAGAACTCATTCATAAATACATATATTTATTTTTAAAAATATCGTGAACGAATCAACAACAACAACGACAACAAAAATCCCAGATGATCTATGAAAGCTTTTAATTCTGATATAAAATGATTCGTTTGTACTATTTAAACTTGAATTCATTTTGATTTAGTCATTTATTCTTTGAAGAAGTGACTTACATTGAGTTACGAAACATTGGAAAATTTAAATTTCTTTTTTTTTAATTAATTAATTAGTTTCTTTATTGCATTTATAACTTGCATCGTTAACCCTATTGTTATTATTATTATTATTGCTATGTTTAATCAACACTTGAACATATATAATGTTACTAACTATGTTACATTATGACGTCGTCATTAAGATCTGAAGTATTACTTATTACTGTATATATTGTTTATTAATAAGATATGAGTAAAGTTGTTTTCTTTTTCATTTTTATTTGTAAATAAAATGTAAATGGATTGTATTTCAATAAAGTAATTTCATGTCTTATATATTGGTTACTTGGTTACTTAAATGAATCACTAAGCAAAATTGTGTTATACAATGAAAAAATTATTCAGTGAATTTTATTATTGGGGAGATCCAGAAAACTCCTTGAAAAAAAAAGACACAATCAAGAAAGGCTTTGAAAGCATCTTATCTAATCAGCGTTCACTAGAAGTTTTGCCAAAAATATCTAGAAAGTAAAAAGCCTTATGTTGAGTTTCTGATTGAATGATTACTTATACTGCTGCTATGTTTAATAGCATTCCAGAATTTTCGGGGAACATAAGGCAATCTAAAATACTATAAACATTCTAGATTTTTTTGTACATAAACGAACCTTTGGAGTAAAGTGTTTCTGACATATTTCGCGCCTATTCTCTCGTGTTCAAGTTGCTGTATAGATCTAACCTATGAGTTAATAGAAGAGCTTAGGAACCAATTAACAAGACTTATCATGATCCGATAATTTGTCTTCATTCTTCATCATCTTCTTCTTCTTCTTAGATGAAATGAACGGCGTCTTTTATTTTGTTATTTTACAGGTGTGTTTACGATAACACTAGACTCCCAAAATGAATTAGTTTATATTTTTCTTATCAAAAATAGTTTGTTTTAAGATAGAAAGGTTTGATTATACACCTTAAAAAGCTTACATTTCATATAGAACTTATATTTCGGCTAATATATTCTCGAGTAAGATGTCCTATGTGTTGATAGGTGAATATGTGATCATGGAGTATATAATTTCATTTCAAATTGCCAGAGATCAATTGTATGGTATAATTTTACTATAAACTAGATATATAATAATATGCAGTTATGAACTTCTTTAGAAAATGATTACGTTTTATATTTATGTACTTCATTACTCAACAACTTAGATATTGTATGCATTTCTATAGAAAGTCTTAACAAACATTATGGTAAGTTTACGTAAGGCATTCTAATTACTTATTAATGAAAGGTAACCATCTAGTCTAATGATCATTTGGTTTTTTTGAGTAATTTGTAGAAATACTAACGAACATTGGGTTTAAAAGTTCACAAATATTACAAAGCATCAAATCTGGATATTATAGAACAGAAAGAAATAAGAGAATAATAAGGTAATAAATCTCTTTGATGAACAACATCAGTACTTGCTTACTTACTCAAACCTGTTACTCCTCGTGCAGGAGCATAGGCTGACCACCAGCACACGCCATCCAACTCTGTCCCGAACAATCCATTCCGGCTCTTTCCAGTTGTTGTTAATCTTTTTCGTATCTGATTCTATTTCCCGACGTAATGTTTTCTCGGCCTTCCTCTTTTCCGCTTTCCTTCAGGATCCAAAGTTAGTGCTTGCTTGGTGATGCAGTTTGGTGATTTGCGCAATGTATGTCCTATTCATTTCCATCGTCTTTTCCTAATTTCTTCTTCAGCTGAAAGCTGGATTGTTCTCTCTCATAATAGACTGTTGCTGATGGTATCTGGTCAATGGATGTCGAGTATCTTGAGAACAACATCAGTAGGTATCATTAATATGGTGGAAATTAAAACTATGGATTATACAAATTAGTTTAAATCCACTATGTAGAATATATACGTGAGATTTTATAATAAATAAGTTTTTTGAAACTATATATCTACACTTTTAATTTGATGCTTTCAATATAATAGAAATATTAGTATACTGGTAGAACAAAGCATTCTTACACGTTAAATTTTTAATATTGAAAATTTTAGAATAAATTATAAGCAAAGATAGATAGTGGTTAGCAGTTGAATTCAGGACGCACGTTTCGTCCCATTTGAGACTCGTCAGCTAGGTGTACCTGCATCGCAGGGTTGATGTTCACTCTGGGACTCGAACCCAGCACTGTTTGCTTAAATTATCATCGCACATATGCCAATATGAGACTGGTCATTTGTAATCCTAAATACCAATGGAGAGATACAAGCAAACAACATTAAGTTAATCTAAGATAAATTAGTTTTTAACTATTCACTATTGATATTCATGTTAACTTAATACTGACGTTTTCTTGAAAGTTTATTTTTACAACGATCATAAATATTACTATTCGAGGCCCTGAGTGAATACCAACTCTGGGATTTAGGTATATTCAGATGACAAGTCCCAAATAGAATGAAACGCGCGTATTGGATTCCACTGCTAACCACCAGCCATCTTTGTCTATAATGCTTATAACTTAAGGTAATATTGAGGCAATACGCACAGTTTATATATAAGAGACTAATCAATTTTAGTCCTAAATAACAATGAGAAGATTCAAGTAAACAACAACAACAAGTGAATTCATTATGCTTTTTGTTTGAACCTAATACATTTTTCCATGAACTTTAGAAAATTGTAGTCTGTTGACACAGTTTATTAAAAAAGATTATCAGTTAAGAAATACATATGTGTAATACAAATTCATCTTAGGAGGTTACAAGTTGTTACTTCCTTGGTCAGTCTACCTAATAAAATACAGGAGAGAAGTTATCTCGATCTACATTAAAGCTTTGACACGATAGACTAACTGACTTAACCTTGAGACTAGAATATGTGAGTCCGAATTGACACTAACTACCTTGATTAAAGAAATGAAAACTATTCTATCACTTGATTTGTTGACAAGCAAAAGAAGACCAGTCAAATGGAACATTACTCGATTTATTCCGGCTTCCGATCCTCAATTCCGATTCAGAATAAACACATCAATAAGTAGATGACATAACGTAATCACAACGTACAAGCAGTTGTAAAAACACAGTTATGACCAAACTGGGCATTAGGGTAGAAAAATAGAGTGCCAAAGTCATTATATGTGAAAGTTATATTTGAAATAATGTGAGCGATTAAAACATAAAATAATTCCAACGTTTCGTCCAATAAATTTTTCTGAACTACTTCAGAGTAATAATCAAAATCAAAATCATCAAACAAACGAATAAAAACAGCCTGAACCATTAGGATGGTATTCAACTAGAAACTACTTGACAAATATTCGTTGACAAGTAATTGGACCCTTTCTTTATTCAACCCGATTATTTCACATGCATCGTTATTTTAAAGGAAATTAATGTGAGTTATTTTTACCCAATACCAATTATGTATTTGATGATTCTTACTTACTATGTACATCGATGATTCAGAAACAATTTTCTTCAACCTTCAACTTGTACGTTTATTTTTCCTTTATATAAAAATATATTAACACCAAAAATAACACAGAATAACTCAATCTTACACAAACATACACATACACACACACAGTTCGTTCAGTCATTTATTTTTACATCGTGAACTTATCACATGATTCTCATTTGACTAACTCATGTTATCCTATTTATTCAAGTCAACATCCAAATATGATCGGATCAGTACAGCGTAGATTTGATTGTTAAACTCTATATAAGTCCTGATAGCTCCTGTGTTCAAATCTCGTGAGGCAGGATCTTGAATGAGCAGTGCTATAGACTCCTATACTAAAACGAAACGCCAGTCCAGTGCTGCCAGATTTTCCATGGTAGTCTAGCTTTAACTGACTCATGACCTAAACTATTAAAATGGCTATATATTTCTTTGATGATTTTGATTTTCATTCTTACCCTGAAGAAGTCCAGACAAGTTTGTTGGACGAAACGTTGGAATTATTTTTAAATTTCAATCGTTCAGATTATTTCAGAATATAATTTTGCACATATAATGACTTCTCTATACTCGGTGCCTAATTTATATCAAACTATTCGTTCTAATCTTGA